TAAACAGATCGAGAAATCGTGCCCTTCTGTTTTCGATTGACGCGAGTGTAAAAACGCAGAGAAATCCCTGAACCATGTATAGTCCCGCATTTCTCTGTGGAATTGGACTGGCATCATGCAAGCCAAGCTCCCTGACACGCCCCAGCGTCTCGTGAAAACGTCTTTAACTGTTTAGTTTTTTCTAGAATTCAGATTTTTCAGAATTGACGGTTCGATTGTGGCCTTGAAGGAAATCAAGTTGCAATTTCAAGAAGGTCTTCCCTTCACAGCCATCAGAGAGGGTAAGAACCTAATTATCGATTATTGGTCGTAGCTATTGATTGATCACTTCTTCTAGCGTCCTTGCTTCGTACGTTACGTCATGCCAATATTGTGTGCCTTCATGATATTTATCATCAACATAATCAGCTTACATTTGTCTTTGAATATATGGTAAGCAGAATTCGTGGGGAGCTCCGCCCTCTCTGCAGTCAGTTCTGAATTTTCCAGAAAATGGATCTCAGCAAATACCTCGAGCGTCATCCAACCGGTGTTGACTGTATGCAAAACAAACTCCTTCTGTTCCAACTACTACGAGGACTGGATTTTTGCCATAAGAAGAAGATCCTGCACAGGTGCGATTCTCTCGGTACTTCTCAGATCTCAGTATTTCGGAACACCGTCTCTATTTCAGGGACCTCAAACCTCAAAATCTACTTCTTGACGAGAACGGTGTCTTGAAGTTGGCTGATTTTGGTCTAGCACGGGCAAAATCCGTCCCAAGTAGGACATATTCCCACGAAGTGGTCACCTTGTGGTATCGACCGCCAGATGTACTGCTTGGTAGCACCGAATACTCAACGTCGTTGGATATGTGGTGAGTATCGGTGGGGTTTTATCCATGAGACTATTGACTACGAGACCCTGAATTTCAGGGGCGTTGGGTGTATTTTTGCGGAACTTTGCACGGGTCAAGCGATTTTCCCTGGCACCAAAGACGTGATGGACCAACTCGACAAAATATTCAGTGTTCGAGGTGTGCCAGATGAGACAACTTGGCCCCAGGTGAGCTAATTTGAGCTATTGAATCGATTGGAGGCATAGTAACCCTCGGTGTGGGCGGAGACACGCAATGGTTCTGTCATACTGTCACTCTCTCCACGTCTTTCCTCTTCTAGAAAACGGATCAATGATGTACCGGTGAGGGAGAGCTCATATTCCTGGCACATCAATGAGCTTGGTCCTTGCCTTGGACGGGCTGTATCTGGGTTTCGAATATCAAGTTCATTTTTATCTTGCCGTTTTGTCTGCCGAAGCCGGGACCTACCAAGGAAGGGGAGGCTGGGTTTGGCGCAGCGCCTGCCCGTTTTCCACCAACTGTTGCCTCTTGCCGCTTCAAGTATTGGTGTCGTGCCAAGCCTAGCCCCTTGACATGCCTAAGCCTCTGTAACTGCTTACTTTTTTCAGAATTGACGGTTCGATTGTGGCCTTGAAGGAAATCAAGTTGCAATTTCAAGAAGGTCTTCCCTTCACAGCCATCAGAGAGGGTAAGAACCTAATTATCGATTATTGGTCGTAGCTATTGATTGATCACTTCTTCTAGCGTCCTTGCTTCGTACGTTACGTCATGCCAATATTGTGTGCCTTCATGATATTTATCATCAACATAATCAGCTTACATTTGTCTTTGAATATATGGTAAGCAGAATTCGTGGGGAGCTCCGCCCTCTCTGCAGTCAGTTCTGAATTTTCCAGAAAATGGATCTCAGCAAATACCTCGAGCGTCATCCAACCGGTGTTGACTGTATGCAAAACAAACTCCTTCTGTTCCAACTACTACGAGGACTGGATTTTTGCCATAAGAAGAAGATCCTGCACAGGTGCGATTCTCTCGGTACTTCTCAGATCTCAGTATTTCGGAACACCGTCTCTATTTCAGGGACCTCAAACCTCAAAATCTACTTCTTGACGAGAACGGTGTCTTGAAGTTGGCTGATTTTGGTCTAGCACGGGCAAAATCCGTCCCAAGTAGGACATATTCCCACGAAGTGGTCACCTTGTGGTATCGACCGCCAGATGTACTGCTTGGTAGCACCGAATACTCAACGTCGTTGGATATGTGGTGAGTATCGGATGGGGTTTTATCCATGAGATCAGTGACTGTGTTCAAACTAAGACCCTGAATTTCAGGGGCGTTGGGTGTATTTTTGCGGAACTTTGCACGGGTCAAGCGATTTTCCCTGGCACCAAAGACGTGATGGACCAACTCGACAAAATATTCAGTGTTCGAGGTGTGCCAGATGAGACAACTTGGCCCCAGGTGAGCTATTTTAAGCTATAGAACCGATTGGAGGCATAGAAACCCTTGGTGATGTGGGCGGAGACATGCAATGGTTCTGTCTTCCTCACTCTCTTCTCCTCACGTCTTTCCTCTTCGTAGAAAGACGGAGTAGCAGTGTACCGGTGAGGGAGAGCTCATATTCCTGGCACATCAATGAGCTTGGTCCTTGCCTTGGACGGGCTGTATCTGGGTTTCGAATATCAAGTTCATTTTTATCTTGCACCCTTCCCCTTTTCGCGGAGAGGATATTTGCAGGCTATTCTGAGCAAAATTTCTCTACTGAAGCCTAAAACTCTTATTTTTCATGTCAGGTAAGGGATCTACCTCACCTACAAGCAGGGCGTGCCTTTCCGTATTACAATGGAGATATTCCGTTCAAGCAGTTTGTGAATATTCTCTCACAAAACTGGAAAAAAGTACTCGGGACGGATCTGCTCGGAATGTTTTGCAGGTAGAATTTCTAGTATAATTTCTCTTGATATATTAGCGCTCATTCTTTTTCATTTTAGAAAACTTGAGTAAGGTTTCACGAACGTGACAAAACTACGGCGCTCACCTAGTTCGGGTGTGGGGGGGCAGGGGAGCGTTGATCTCAGAGCGATCACCCCAATCGAGCTACTTGGATGAAAGACACGCCATGGGTCGACGCAGCGTGCCACATTGAGTGGAGTGGGCCGTGCTGCGATTGTGCGCACATCGTTCCGCTTAGAACGCCTTTTTCGCCATGCTTGCCGCGACTCGGAAGTAGCGCTGAACCCTGACCTTTATGCCCCTTCCTTCCCTTAAAAGAGCTCAGGCGACCAGAGACTGCGCGGCTTAGTTTCGCATGGTGGACCGTAGAACGATCTCACCTTAGTACCCAAACTAGTTAACTTATAGCTTCAGCAGAGATACAGTTGATTTCTTCGCGAGCGGTGAGATACCAGGAGGCGTGAAATAAGCCTACCCGCGCTATTCCCGACCGCTGCTTGTTTCCTATCTGAACCGGCCACCATTGGTGGAACGCAACAGCGCGAGAGCACATCCCACGCGTCCTAACACCGCCCCGCCAGACTGCGATGATGGCAGTTAAATCTATCCAAGGGTAGAGTTTTCATATTTCAATGAGGTTCTTGAGACGAGGAGTTCGCGACACGGATTGGGCACATATTGGTCCTGCCGTTCGGTAAACAAGGCATTGCTTTGGTCTCGAAGATCAAGGGATTTCGACAAGTAGAGCTAATAATAAAGCGCGCTTCACGATTTTTCAGCTCCGAGAAACAAAATGCCGGTATTGCAATCTGGAAAGTAGTTTAGGCTTGAGCTAGTGTTATCACAAGAATGCCTGAGTTGTGGGCAAAGTCCGTGCCCCAGGCGCGGAGTCGAACCCGCCACCTCATCACCTATCACGTTATCATTAACAAAAAAATAGGAGCGTCTAGCTACAAGAGGGTCGATTATCCAGCACCCCGCTTGCCGCGTGTGGGGGGGGGAGGCTGTACATACAACCCACATCCCCGAGAGGAGAGTGCGGTTGCGTACTTTATTTGAACATGGCCTAGGATGCGTTTTCCGCGGGATATCCTTCTGAGACGACTGCCCGTTGTCTTGTACTGGGCAGAGAAATGGTCACAATTGTCCCAGAAGGATTTACCAAAGAAGATTTGTGTACCTGCGGACCATCAATTCCGAATAGTCCAATGTAAGAGGGATTACGATTTTGCGGTAATCGTTTGGGCCGGACCCATGACGGCCCATTTTCATTATTGTGCTCTTCATTTCCAATACCGTAGAGGGTGAGGCAGGTGACAGCAAGGAAGGCGCAGTGGCAAGGTTGACCCCAGGGTACAGCATGGGGATGTGCGAAATGTCGGTGTGAGTACGACCCCCCCCCCTTCGAATGGGGTCCAGGCACGACCCCCCCCCTCCCCAGAGCAAAAGTACGACCCCCATGGGTTTGACACAACGATGCTGTACCCTGGTTGACCCCACCCATACGGCCAGTTTGGAAGATGCCTCATCCCAGTTTAGGTGCCCGTCCGCCCCTTTAATCCTAGCGTGACATTTCTGAACAGTTTCTCCTGAGATCCCTCAGTTGTAGTTTTTTTTTGAATCATGGATTTATTTTGGATTATTAAGGCTGAAACAAGTAACCAATTTTGAATGAAATAACCTATTTTTTTTTAGCTGAATCCTAGTGATCGCATATCAGCCAGTTGTGCAATGCTTCATCCATACTTCACGGGTCTACCACGAAATATTCACATTTTACCGCCTACCGTTTCCATCTTCACACTTCCCGAACTGCAGCAATGGATGCGATGACACATCAGTACAGTATAGATGACGATAGAACAATTTCACAGCGACTTTCGCCTCGAGCGACGCTATTGTGACAGTTGTCCGGGAAAGATCTGTTTTGGTTAAACCTTCACTAAACATTTATCACGAACGACACACCAGTGTACATATGCTTGCGTTTTTCCCCAGTGCTCTTTCATTCGCCTAGGCAATCCTTTAATTAATGTACTGGTGATTCGATAGTTTAGTTTCTTTCTCTTCTCTAACACCTCTCATCGATATATCACAACATTTTATTTGAAAAAAATCATTATTTATAAGTTCTCTCTTCGAGGTGAATAATGTTTA